GTAGTATTACAGTACCTACTTCCTGCATCTGATATTCTTTGAAAAAATAATGGGGCGGGGGCAGGATTTCTGTTTCCCTGTCTCTTTCTTTCCTTTTCTTCCTCCCCTCTAGTGGGGAGAGAATGATGGATAAGAGGTAGAGATTTGTTAGCAGCATGTCCTATGGCAGTGCTGCTATTGAGACATTGTCAGTGTTAGGAAGAGGAGGGTTTAGGTGGCTGTGAAGAATCTGAGACTGCAATGGGCAGGGTAAGGACCTAGCCTTGCCTTTCCAGAATGGAGCCAGGAGCAAGGGGCCATGTTACCTGGTGAGCTGCTGGAACGCACCAGTTTTCAGTTAGGGGTACACTGAGAGGAGTGAGGAAGATCAGAGGGAAGGGACTGCCGGAGACCATCTGAGACAGCCACTGGGAGGAATGAAAAGGGACTCAATGGGAAAATTGACATTTTGCGTTATTGTCTCCACATTGTCTACTTGCAGGGGGTTCAGAGTGCCATTGTTTTCTTCCTGGTAATGGGCTGTACCTGAAAGCCCTTCCAGACGTCCAGGGCATGGCTGAAGGGTCATAAACAGTTCCATGCCTCAATAAGAAAAGTTGGAAAACCACTAGTGTAGCCTAACAATGGGGCTTTGTGTGCTAGCCTGACCCTGCCTACCAGAGGGCCTTTTGTTTCCAACAATTCCTGGCACCGGACTTCAGGAGGCCATCAGCCCTGCTTCCCTCTTAAAGTCAGAAATACTTGCAGCTGGCATTTTGTTTGTAGCCTGCCTTCTTAATTCCAGGGACCTGCCCCTCTCAGAGGCCACGGCTGAACAGGAGGGGCCTGCTCTCTGTCTCTCCCATTTGTAAGGCAGGACAGGAGACAATACTCTGTCCGACTCAGTGCCGGCTGTCTGGATGAGTGCGACGCCAGCTGTCAGCCCAGGATGAGGTCAGAGAGAGGCCACCCGGGTCCCAGGTGGGCAGGGGTCACCCAGGTGACCAGACTGCACCGGAGGCCCAAAGAGTGTGCAGGAGCATGAACTGCTGGCCTCCTCTGCGGGAGAGGAGCTGCAAGTGCTGATGGGAATGAACTGCAGGCTCTGGCTAGGGGGCCAGTATTCCAGGTGCCTCCATCCTTTCAGGAAGTTCAGGCTCTCTCTCCAGCTTGTGTGTCTGCTGAACACAGGGGCCTCCTTGCTGTGCTGGCAGGGCAGCCTGTCACCCTGAACCATTTTATCATCTGGGGGAGTGCTTCCGGCAGGGCCAGTGCACGGATCAAGCCCTCCTGCTGGCTTGGGAGGTCGAAGTGCCGTGATTAAGGACTGATTAAGGACGGGCATTCTGGAGCCAGACAGCCTGGGTTCAAATTCTGTTCTGTCACTTAGTAGCTTGGCAGCTTTAGGCAAGATATTTAATTCACTCTTCTATAAAACAGGCCAACTGAAAGTATGTACTTTTTTCATAGAGTTGTAAGTTTGGATGAATTGATGCATGTAACACCCTTAGAGCAATGCCCAGTAAACAGTAAGAACTCAATAAATGTCAGGTTTTCTTATTAGCCCAAAATACACAGCTTGTAAGCAGATCTCCAGGGGATGGGGCCCTTCTTAACTCATGGCAATTCAAGGTCTCCGTGAGAACTTATGTCTGTCTGTCATCATTCCTGCGAAGCCTTTTCTGATCATTCGGACCCACAGGGGTTTTTGTTTTAACTGCTCCGGTAGGTGTGTTCCGATACCTTCTTACCTAAATAATTCCTTTAAATTGGAGTCTCTGCCTTATCTTTTTCTAGAAATTCTCCTAGCTACTAATACAGTAAATTCTTATTAAATATTTTTGGGGGTTGATAGATGGTACATTTTTAAAAAATAAATTCTTTGTATAAATACCCTTCAAGAAAGGAAAAATCTCTGGCCTAGCATAAGATCCTGACAGTTCTGTGCTCTTTATTAAACTCCAATTTTTAAAAAGGCACTCTACCAGATCAAAAATATGTTGCAAAGCTGTAGTAATATAATAGTACGATACTAGTTGAGGAAAAAAATTAGAGAAAGCAATGGAACAAAATAGAAAGTCCAGAAACAGAGCCAGAAATACATGAGACTTTATTAAATTGTAAAGGTGGCATTGCAGAGCAATGGGTAATTGATATATATTTTCAATAAATGGTATTGAGACATCTGGCAAGTCATTTGGAAAAATAAGTAAATCTGGATTTCTAAATCTAAAAAGTAAATCATAAAAGTGTAATGACAAAAAAAGAATGAGATTTTTAATAATATTCAAGTAGGGCAGACATTTCTAAGTATGGGAACCATGGGAGCTCTTAAAATTGGTGACATAGAATCTGAAACTTCTTTGTGGCAGATATCATAAAAATAGGAAGTAAAACATGACGGAGTCTACATACCAAAAATACTATAGCAAAAATAAAAAATGACTAACTGGGGGAAATCTTTTAAAACATAGATTTCCTTAATATACAAAGAGCTCTCCAAAATCAATAAAAAGACAAGTATCTAGTAGGAAAATAAGTAAAACCCAGGAATAGGCATTTCAAAGGAAAAGACATGTAGTCAATAAATAGATGAGATTATGTTTTTTTTTAAAGAAAGAAGCAGGTTAAACCTTATATTATTTTCAATTTTCTGATTGGTAGTTTCAAGAATCTCATAATGCCTGGTGTTTGCAGGGTGTCAGGCAATGAGCTCTCAAACATCGTTGGTGGGCATGTAACTGGTACTATTTTTTTAAAAAGGCAGTTGATAGTACCTGTCCAAGTTCAAAGTATGCATTCCTGGTGACTCACAAATGCCACTTCTAGTAGTAGTCTACATATGTGTGTGTGTGTGTGTGTGTGTGTGTGTGTGTATATATATATATATATATATATATATATATAAATAAACATTTAACATGCAACATTATTTATAATAGAAAAAATTGGAAACAACCTAAATTTTCATCAGTAGGGTAATGGTTAAATAAATAATGGTACCTTAAAGTTTGTTAAAAGAAACATTAGAAAAACAGTTCATATAATAATAACTTCCTTGTATAAAGACATTTGTATGTATGCTTGCATGTGTAACACAGTTTTAGAAGGGAATATAGAGAAGGAAGTGTTCATGGTGTTTACCAATCGGAGCAGGATGGGAACAGTGCCGGTGAGGGAAGAAGGGCACTTTAACTTGCAGCATTTTGCCTTTCTGAACTCTTTCAGTTTTGTTTATAATAAGCATGTATCTCTTTGAAATGGAAAAATAGCTAAACCCTAAAAAATTGTGTTGATATCAACAGAACTATAGCCATATCAATAGTGATGGGTTTCAGAAAGCCTGTTAACAACACCACCATGTCCAGTTGCACAGGTTCTTCACTCTTCAAATCCAGATAGATTATCGTGAAGGTAATCTGCACAGCCATACATGGCCGTGTAAATGTGCTTTCATATAGTCCTTGAAATGCACCACTCTACTTTCTTTGTTAGGTCAATAGATATAAAATTCTTGATATCTGCAAGACTCAAGAATTTAGACCTGGGGCAGGTCTAAACAAAATGAAAAGTGCAGCTTAAAGTCAGTCTGAAGAACCAAGCGGCACATGAACATAGCATCACTCCTAACTGACCCCACAGAATCCAGGTACAAGATGAAGGTTGAAACACAGTCGGTACCTGCTGCAGCTGGGGGAGAGTGGAGACTGAGGAAGAAAAATGAGGGGAGGAAGAAATGATTAAATGAGGGGACCTAGCATGTGCCAACATGATGTGCACCATCAACTGGGGCATAAGGACAATTCCACTCTGGGCACCTGTCAGTTTATTCACCACCCACCCTACATTACAGCTCTACCTGGAATACCAATGGAAGGAGGATAGGGTTGGCATGGAAGGCCTCTCACCAGCTGACACAGTCCTTCCATTTCTTTTGCATGCCCTTGCTAAGGGCCATTCAACAGCTGGCTAGAGAACAACGTAATCAGGCCTCCCACTGGTGCGGCTCTATTCCAGGTGGCTTCCCTTCTGCCTGGCCTTGCCATGTCCTGCTGTTAGCATTGTGGTTTCAGATCTGAAGGAGTGGTACAGACCTCTCTCCTTCTGTTCCCTGTGTTTTTCCATGCCATCTTTGGTTTGCTACTCAGGAGGCCACCATGGTCACACTTGACTGACCTTCAGGGATCATCTCTGAGTCTAAAAACACTCCTCCCCTTCTGCAAGGTCTTCTTCCTGGTTAGAATGCCACTGTTGTCAAACTTAATCTCATTAGCAGTGGCCAGCATGTTGATTAATGGAGATGCATATGCATATGTAAAAGCAAAATTAACCAAAGTTAACTGCAGCAAGTTTAGAGTCTGGCAACTCTAATCTTAATTAGGCTCCAACATCCTTGAAAGTAAGTTGCCTGTGGATAGTGAAACGTGTAGCTGGTTAGTGCCTCTGATTTACATGCATGGTTTAGGTGATGACTGGTACAGCATGACTCTTGCTGTTGGACAAAGAAATGAGAATGTCAGCCACCTCTGGCCCTGCCAGAGGGCATTGGGTATGTTCTTTAAGTCCAATGGGGCTCAAACTATGGTGTATTAACCTGTCATGATTTTTCTTTGTAAGTCTACCAAGATGAGGAAAAGAGTCAAGAATCTGAATAAGCAAGACCTGCAAATTCAAGCCAGATCTATAAAGGAGAAATGTTAAAATATTTCCATCTGGATGAATGCCCCATTGGTGGTATCTTTCTCTAGCTATCGAGGGATAAAGTCTAACTGGAATAATAATAATTATAAAAATCCCAATCGATCCCCCAAACATCCTATCCTCATCAGAGACTTGGCAGCATCATTCTGGGATGGTAGTTTTTTTTCCCCCCAGCACTATTGGGAAGCAGAGGCCTGGAACCATACACTGCCATAGCTTTCCTGCCCAAGCTAGGATTCCAGGATATAGTCTGTGATATTTGTCCCTCTTGGTTTTCATACTTGATTTATTTCTTCATTTTATATTTTCCCTTTCTGAAGGTTTAATTGATGTACCAACATGGCAGTAGATGACAGTCTTCTGAAAAGAATCCGTGTGTAAGGTAGGTGGTGCGAGGGGGTAGAAAATTGAAAAGATATGGGGGAGTGGGGGGAGTGGCCACTGGGGAGGCAAGGGTTACCATTCAGCAGAGCCTGCCGGCAGGAACCCCTGCAATAGAGGGTTCCCTGGCTCTAGAAGCTTTAGCAGCAGATCCTGAACCTGGTGCTCCCCTTGTCTACTCCTGTGAGAGATCCTGGGGTGGGGACCAGGATCACCCACTTTGTCCACTCAGTTTCTTTCTGCTTTGATCAGGGACTTACTAGGCCCATCCTACTGTAATGGGGGTCTTGAAAATTTGTGTGGTGTGCAATAACCTTCCTTTTTATAGACGGTGGCAACTGGTTGCACAAGAAATGCTGTTTCCCAGGTTGATCTTCATGTTAGTTAGGGGAGAAAGGCACTAGGTGCTGGAACCAGTGTGGGATCTGGAGCCCTGTTTTGGCTAATTTTTGGCTTTATGATCATTGACAAGGTGTTTAGTCCTCTCTGAGGAAACAAAGGCAGCAATTTCTGGTAGATTCTGATTATACTGTTAGTAAGTGGTGTGGTAACGACCCTGTAGGAGGAAGTGGTGGATGGTAACAAGAATAAACTCCCATTCAAAATGTGCCTAGGTACTGTTCAGAGGAAATTCTTGGAAAACTGGCAACTGGAGCACAAACTGTTATACAGTGGCTTAGTGTCATACTCTTAAAAATCAGCACAGAAATGTTTCTTGCCCGTAGAAATGTTTCCTCAACTACAAAGATGGTGGTAGCAAAGTGGACGCAAAGGTAGCAAAGGTGACCCTTAAGTGGAATCAGTATTTATTGTTTCTATAGGACTGGTAAAAAGGTAAATGAAGTAGGCTTGCAGATAAAGACTGGGATGAAGGACAAGAACAATTAAGAAGAATTCTTCGTTTTGCCTAGTGCCTTTGGCCTTGAAGGGCAGACTCAGAATTGGTCCAGTGCGATGCTTCATCAGTCATAAAGATTTAATTATAACCCTTATTTGACCAGGATTATATCATGAGGCCCAGTTCATATCTACTGGGATTCTGTTTGTCGCCCCTCACTTTCTCCCCTTCCTGCCCACGTTCCTTTAGCGCCCCCTCCCATTAAAAGGATGACCAGTTTTGAATTACGGTAATAGCTACACTCTTGGTTTAGGACTAACCTCCCTGAAATTTTCAGGACCACTAATTTGTGGTTACTCCAGTGCTAGAATGAACTTGGCGCTCTGGCCTTTAGACTAGCAATGCAGTAAAAGTTTAAAGCGAAGACTGCCTCAGAGCCAAAAGAAGAGAGGAGATTGAAACCTAAAGGTTATCCTGAAATGCACTTTACTGTTATCTATGAGAACAAATGAGTTAAAAAAATTTCAAATACCAGAATACCCTACAGGGAGGAGATATAACTATTAAAGGGCTGTTATAGCTGCAATAAATGTAGGAACAATAAAAATAAATTGATGAAGTAAATGTCAGCGCTGTTCCCCTGAGCTGCCCCCACACCTTTGTCCAAAAGTAGAACATCTCCAATTACAGAGGGTGGAAGCAGCCTTCAATGACAATATGACAAGGACAGAACACAGAACGCTGGCACGGAGAACACAATTATGCACAGCCTTGAAAAATTGTATCATAGCACAATGCATGGGAGAAATCAATTAATGATGTGGGGCTTCCACTGCTGTCTAATAATCCTAGAAAGGAAAGCCGGGGGAGAAAATCCCCCGTACACCCAGTGCATCAAAAGGTGACCCTTAAGTGGAAGTCTATATAATACCAGAGGTCAGTCTTCCGAGTTTATAACGTCCGAAATTCTCTTTTTTTTTCCTCTCAATTTTTTCCCCTTAAAAAAATCTAGCAGTCTTAAGGAGGCATTTAAGTAAAAGTCACTTCTTCTCTGGTTAAATAGCCTAGCAAAAGAGAGTTCTTTGGCGAAAAGGGCAGGGATGAGCAAGGCGTGTGGCTGTCATCGCCAGCCCAGCACCTGAAAGGGAAGAGGCAAAAGTTAGGCATAAACATGGTGGAAGGTAGAAGGTGATTTATCTTGTGCAATTTACAACAGGTGCTAAACATTACGAAAACCAGAGCTATTAAGCAATCAAATTAAGCTATAATTATAACCGAAGAAAACTGTACAGGAATTCTAATTAATTCAAATCCGAACATGTCCAAGAGGAATGCTCCAGCAACCCCACTTCTGAATAGAACAAAACAAAAATAACCCTTGGATAATGCCTTTAGATTGCACAGGAAATTAAGAAATACTTCTCGGCTGGAATATTCCAGGTATTCCTTATTAAATGGTGAGAGAAATTCCCTGCAACGCCTGAGCTCTCGGCTTTTCAGGTACACACCACATAAAGCATGTAGTTGGGCTGCCCTCAACTCAGTGGGATTTTAAGGCGTAGTGGACCAAGGGGATTCCACTGTACATGTAAGTACTTCAAAGAGTCTGAAGGGTTAGCTCATTCGTCTCTCCTTTGAAGGTTTCTCCCAGGGCATGTGAGCATTCTAAAGAGCTCTTCACCCTCCCCTTTTATTTTGTATTTTATTTTTGTATGTGTCTTTTGGACTAGGTCCATTTTCTTTTCAGCCACTCCTCTTCCAATCATCAATCCCAGCCTTTCTACCCGACCTGAGGTTTCTGCTTTTCTTATGCCCCCGGGAGTCCTGGGTCGTCAGAAAACCATGGCAGCATTTTCTGTCAGATTTGCCTGAGCCATGAAGGTTGTGCCTCATGCAGCCACACTTGTCATGGGAGGAAGGAGATGCTTAGATATGTGAGTGAGATTTCTAACCCAAAGACCGAACCATTTGATTAGGCCACTTAGTTCCCTAATCCATGATTCTTTAAGTGTAACTATTTGACAATAGGAACAACAACAACAAACATAGTAATGACATCTAATATTTACCAAAAGCTTATTATCTATCAGTTAATGCGCTAAATTCTCTCTCTGCATCATCTCAACGGATCCTCTCCACCACTCTAGGAAGGAGCACTCTTCACAGCAATCTTCTAGGGAGGAGTCAGGACCCACTGTTGGCTGTTAAATTGACTCTGAAACAAAGATCCCTTCTTATTAAGGGAAGTTTCTTACACTTCCAAATAATTTAACGTAAGTTCTCTTTGGCTTTTACTCTGTCAGGTTAGAGGGGTGTGGAGGGTCGGTGGAAAGAAAGCATTTTCTCTGATGAGGTTCCCGTCTGGACTCAGTGCAGGTCGGCCCCTGTTCTCAGCACAGTTTTGCCTGCCCTTTCGAATATTCACTTCTGAACACATCCTTGACTTTTGCTTTGACTTCGCTTCCATTTACATTGCCATAGGGGGCTTGGGAAGCAAAGATGTGACTTCCCGAGAAACACTGAATCTGTACATACCGTTGAATTCATAGGCTTTTTAACCATTGTCGGAGTTTATGTTCTCACAGGAATCCCCACGTTGCTTGCTGACAGTGTTGATGAAGGGTATGTGACTGGTTTTCTTCTATGTTGGGTTCAGTGGAGCCTTCCTCTCCCTTTGATTCATGGGATAGGGGAGAGGGTTGGTAGCTTTCTCATTTGGCAAGATGAGTTCATAAATGTTGGCAGGAAGCAATTCCAAAAACAGCGCTGTGAGGAGATTCTAATTCCCATGGATAGATGAGGAAACCAAGAAGCAGACAGAAATTTGGCAAATTCCATATTGCCAGTTATGTGGTAGACCTAAGAAATGAGTTAGACCGCAAAAAGCTCTTCCCGAGGGCACCCACACCTGCCCTCCTCTGCCGATTCCCCTCGGGAAGTGGAGCTGCTGGGGTGTGGGGGCAGGGATTGTGTGATTTACCGGCTGCCAAGGCACCTACCCCCTGTTTTTGATACTGTCAGGCAGCTCTTTTATGATTCAACAAACAAAGCTGCTGTTGATTTCATTTCATCTAGTTATACTATTTTTATTTTTGGGGAGGCTATGGAAGGGCCGCTCGCCTCCTTGGTATCCTTGGTTCCTACCACTGCTTAGGGATCGTAGGGGCCAGCACAGACATGGTGTGGCCACAGGAAATGAGGGGGCAGCAGGCAGGCAGGGCAGGGGGGAGGCAGTCTGGCCTGGGGAAGGGGCGTGGACTCCGTGGTGCTGAGCAGGGTGTCACCTCCCTCCTGTGATTGCTCCCTGGCCATCCCTTATCTGCTTGGACAGGGTGAGGTGGCCTGACCTTCAGGGCAGATGGGGACGAACTGAGTGCCTCGGTTCCTGTCACTGGAGGTTACGTAGATTTATCTGTGCCACTTTATATCCTTTCTGCAACCTGTCAGGGTATAAATTAGAAATAAATCAAAATGGATTCATCAGCACTTTCCAAGTTTATACCAAATTCGGGATGGCGGTGGGAGTGCCTCTCTGCTCCCTTTAAGTCAGGGGTCAAGGTGTGTGTGAGGATGTAGACCAAACGCTGCTTCCATCCTCTGGGCCTCTCCCTCCCAGCAGTCTCTTCCAGGCAGACATCTTGATGAAAGAGGGGACATGAGATAATGGCTAATGTTCCCAAGTGCTGACCATAGACTAACTGCTAATGTTCCCACATAAGACTTTGCCGTGATAAGCCCTTTATGTGGATTAACCCTTCAAGGTGGGTGCCAGTGGGATCATTTTTCAGGTGAGAAAACCGAGGCCCAGCATGAATAAGTCAATCACCCAGGGACGCACTGGTGAGTAGTAGAATCGGAACGTAGACAACCTGGCTCTGGAGGTTACACTGAAACCCACAGAACAGCTGCCCCATTTGCATGCCGGGAGAAGGGACTCTATGTGCTTATAACTAGTTAGTTAGACAGAGAGCTGATGTTCTCGGCTTCGTTTCATTCGGAGGCTGGCTGGAGCCAGTGCTGTCGGTACTGGGCAGACTGGCAGTTCCTAGAGGGCAGGGCTGGGGCTGCTTGTGAAGCTCTGCCGTGGGCCCAGCACCCTGCACTTTGTGTGCACAATGCCTTTGACTTGATGGTCAAGTTCAGCCATTGTTGGCAGAAATCCT